GTCTTTTACTATAAATTTTTATTTTTTATTTATTTATTTATTTATTTTTTTAGCTGAGCCATCCTGCTACCTGTTGGCAGCTCAGCAGCTGCTCAGCTTGGGCTGGACTCGAACCACTGTTGCTCAGAGCTCAAACTCTTGAGCGAGTTCTTAACCAACTGAGCCACTCGGCCGGCCCACAATTTATTTTTATTTTCCAGACTTTTCATATTCTTCTTGAGGGCATTAAGCAAAATTAAATAAGTTAGACAAAAAAAGATAAATACTGCATGATTTCACTTGTATGTGGATTCTAACACAAACAAACAAAGAGCTCACGAATATAGAGAACAGATTGGTGGTTGCCTGAGACACAAGATGAGAAGGGGGTGGGTGAAATGGGTAAAGGGAGTCAAAAGGTATAAATTTCCAGTTACAAAGTGGGAATGTAAAAAGTATTCTTCTGTCCTCTTCCCTAGGTTTTAAGTTCAAAAAGGGCAAGAACTTTGTCTTAACGTTATCCTCTATTTATGGTATTTTCCATTTGCTTCATCCCACATCCTACTGACAATTTGAATGAAAACGTATTCAAATTTATGTAGCCTTAATAATAATTTAAACTTAATTTAAAAATTAAATTTGCCTTTTAAATTATGGAAAGTGTTCCAAATCAAAAACATTGCTTCCTTCCTATACCAGAAACATCTTTCCCGCTGAGCGTACTGTAATCATTCTTTCCAGCTTGTGTTTTGTGCTATATTGCTTTATCGATGAGTTTTTTAAGGCCAACAATGGAATCCAATGTTGACACCTCTCAGATCTCTGGTGTTCATGTTATGGAAAGAGCATATTAAGGTTCCTGAAGGTGGTCTGTGAGAGCTCACATCACATTCTGGAATTAAATCGACCTTGTTCTTTTCATCAGAGAAAGACAAGAAGAGTAAGCTATTGTTTTCCAAAAGACTCACCTTCTTCAACAAGCCACTTCATTCTTCATGTAGCAGATGTCTCTGTTGAATGTATTTGAGTGCACTCCAAGCAGAGCAATCTGGCAATAAAACACTGCAAGATATTTTCAACCTTCGAGAGGAACCACTGCAGTTCCCAATCCTAGAGATCTGAAGCAACCCTTGGAGCTACTGCCAACATTCAATACTCCAGAATCAAGTGTGAGCATGGCCCCAGTCAATTGGAGACCTATGAGGTCAGCTTCACAGCCATGTCGCTGTCAAGAAAACATTATCCAGCCAATTTCCTCCTTCTATTCTAGAGATTTGCAAAACGCTCAGAGGCTCACTCCCCAAACACCCGGAAACTCTGTTATGCACAGTATTTCTTCACAGTAGCCTCCTTCTCCAATCATCGGATCTAGCTCTTAAGCATGATCAAGTTCCAACTATTTGTAAGTCCTTAGAAAGTGTCTTCCACTCTAACAGGTTTTCTCGGATAATAAGTCTGCAGGCTGTTGTACTCTCGACCCTTCTTCTTCTCCTGTTACCCACAAGGAAAGGTGTACATTTCCTTGTTAATAATTCTTTGATCATTATTGCATAAATTTCCACATTGCAAGCGTCTATATCAGTGTGTTCACCTAATCAAATGTCATTGCAAAATCTCTTGCCTCCATATTTATTAATATTTTCTTCTGATACAATGCCAATTTACAGACTACCTTTTTGGATAAGCAAATATGTTTTGCCATCACTTTGCAGCTCTTAGTTTGCAAGGTTAAACTATACAAAGTACTTTCTTCACAAAGATCTGACTGTGAAAGTCCATTTATGCTGAAGTATTAGGGAATAATTTTTGGAAACTGGGAAATACAAATCACCTGTGTTGGGATTAGAGTGACTGTGTCTCTAGACATATTGGAGAGAGAGGATCAACTCTATAGAGTAACTTCCGTGTTATGAATTCATAGTTCACAGCCCAAGAAAGAAGAAACAAGTAACGTTCAGTGCACCAGGCCAAGTTTGATATTTTAATCAGAAATTGAGTGAAAACAGAGTCAAGGTAAGGACACAGAGGTATATTATTACACAGGTGACACAGAAAAAAATAAAGACAATTTGGGGGGAAAAGGATATGCAAGATTTTTCTGTTGGTTAATTAGCATGTGAAACAGAAACGCTATAAGACCAAAGGACTTTCACACAGCGGTTCTGATATCTTTTATAGAATAGTCTTTTAAAATTTTCCCTTTTTTATCAGCTTCATCCATATAAAAAGATAGCTCAAGTATAATTAGTACAATAGTCATAAATGTGCAAAGACTTTTTACTTTTTCTTTTTTTTTTGCAAAATTAGATCATACTGAAAAGAAAACACAGAAAAAAAGGCTAATTAAGGAACCATGAACTATTGTAGGAAGCTCAGTGTCTTATTAAAGATTCATTCTTGAATTTTTTAAAATAAAAGATTGTGGGGTGGCCTGTTAGCTCAGGTGGTTAGAGCACAGGCTCATAACACCAGGGTTGCCGGTTCAATTCCCACATGGGCCAGTGAGCTGTACCCTCCACAACTAGATTGAAGACAACCACTTGACTTGGAGCTGATGGGTCTTGGAAAAACACACTGTTCCCCAATAAAATTTCTTTAAAAAAAAATAATAATAAATAAATAAATAAATAAAAGATTGTGTGGGTAGGGTGAAAAATTGGAACTCTGTTCCAGGAAACACAAAAGGCATATCAAAAGTTTCACAACATTTTTAAAGGCACAATGGTCATTATTATTAAAAAATATTATTTATTAACCAGAATTATTACATTGAAGACAAAGTTTAAGACTGAAAATTTGAAGAGCCCCTGGCTTCCTTTGCTCCTACTGAATTCTCCAGAGATTTTATAACTAGCCTTGGCTGTCTCTGTGCTTATAGAGAACGCCTCAATCTATACCTATTGGAAATGCTCATAAGAAAAATTATAACAAAGAAAGTGTAGCCTAGAAACATGAATTTTATTTTCATGCATCAGCTTGAGGCAAAAGTCCTGTATAGCTCTGACTAAAGAGCTGACTGAATCCCCAAATCACAACTTTCTAGAAAGGTTTCCTATAGTTATCTCATTCTGACCAAAACCTTGTGAAGATACTAACAAAAATATTTAAAAAGTTAAAAAATATAATAAAAAAAGATTCTCTCAGACCAAGGGGCTTCCCTGGCTGGTTTGTATCAGCCATGGTTAACACTCAGTCACTCTGGAACCTACATGAGTTCTGCCCTGGAAGAGGTACTTTGAGGGAAGCTGCCATGGATGGTTCCGGGCCTCTCAGAAACTGATGCTGCTTCTCTCATTAACACAGCTTACTGCTGGGCAAGTCCTGAATTTCCTGCAACTTTGAGTAACAGTCCCACCCTGTGAAGATGCAGCCAGAAATGGAGGCCTCGGTGACGTCGCCTGTGTCAATGCTGTAAGCTACTTTGATTCCAGTATCAGCAACAAACATTGAAAAAATCAAAGCTTCTAGCTCATGTTCTCACCCTCCAAAGACTTTCTCTCTTCTAAGATTAAAAAAATACAGCATTGAATACATGAAAATATAAACTGGTAACCACAATATGGCCTCAGGGAAAGAAAAGACAGTCTGGGGAATATAGTCAATAATGTAAATATTTTTTAGGGGGCCAGATGGACTTATGTCTTGTTAGGGAGACCACTTCATAGACAGTGTAGAGGCTTGACCACTGCACTGTTCATATGAAGCTGATGTTGAATAATATTGTATGTCAACTACAATTTTATATACATGTAGTCATGGGATGTGGAGTAGAGTGTAGGAATGGAGTCAATGGAATTGTAATAGATAAGTATGATATCGGGGGTGGGAGGGCAGTGGGTGGGGGGAGGGGTATTGTCATTTTGTGAGCGGTGAAAAGGATAACTATTGCATTGTTTTGTATACCTGAAACTAATAATAAAAAATAAAAATAAATAAAAATAAAAAAAAGAAACAAGAAGCATTTAAAATACCTTTATTTTTCTCATTGGGAGGTCATTCTATCACACATTTTAACAGTGGTTCACTAGGTGTAACATTTCACTTGGCTATTTTCTGCTAATCTTCACATTTTCTTCATCATAGATTTTAATCCTCAGTTTCTTCATCATCCATTATTGTCACTGTTGCTGAATTTAAAACAAAAATAAGTGGGGTTTTTTTAAATGGACTACTCAGCAATGTCAAGAAAATTTCATCAAGGTCTGTGAACCTATCTACATGGCATACAATTGGCCATGAGTTACTCAAAAACAAGTTTGGTGTGTGCTGCCCTGTCTCTCCACTCATTCCTGGGAGAGACACAGCTTACGGAGAGGAGAAGGGTCTCCACCTCTCATGGCCTTAGCCTTACTCTTCAGAAAGCACCCTGAGAACATGCCATCGTTCCCCGTGGGAAGTGTCATTACACAGACACAGCATCGGTTATGGGGGAGCATCGAGAGACATTGGGGCCAGCTGCTTCTCCCTGCCTCCTCCTTTTCCCAGTTGCTCCAGGAAAACCAAGTCTTGGTAACCAATGGATAGTAAGAGACCTAGACAATGTTCCCATACAAACACCACCTAAGACTGAGCTGATCATTTGGGAAGTTTCCTTCTCTACATGGCAAATTGCTGACTTGTAAAAAGCATCAAGCAACTGCTAAGTCTTCCTAAGAGAGTTAATAACATACAAGCAACTTTGCTTCCTGGAAACCAGTGGCATTGGAAGATTTAGCTATTGTTCATATCACTTCAACCACGACCACCAGGCTATCAGGGAGCCACAATAGGAAGTGGTGTTATTAGCACTACTGCCAGGAAGCGCCTTGATTAAATCTGCAAGTGTCACAGTTACACCCCAGCACTACCACCCCTCCTAACACTTACACCCACTGCCCCACAACACAGCTGGCCCAGCTAGAAAGGGTGAGATGACAGAGAGGCAAAGACAGGGGGAGGAAAAGGTGGAAGATGATATTTATGGAAGGAAATGAGCTTTTTGAGCAGGAAACCCATGCTGAGGGCAGAAACCACCTTAAAACCAGACTCTCCTACTTGGAAAATATAGAGTATTGTCCAACTAAAAAACAAGTGTAATTTTTGTGGAAGGAACAATATAGCTGCTTGAGTGTCTTTCATGGATAAGGTCTCTCAAGGGACTAAAGCTGTGCCTGCCCTAAAGCCGGGTCAATGCCCTCGCCTTACCATCCTTCCCTTCAGTTTCCCCACTCCTCTCCAATGTTTTGGTAGTTGAAACTTTCGATGTTGTCTTCCCACTGGAGGGAGCTGCCTCAATTTTATCACTGGCCTTGGATGATGAAGGCATTTCTGTAGAGACTCCCTTTTCTCTCCTGCTCTCTTGAACAACCCTGAGGGGAAGACAGTTTTTATCACAATCAGGGAAATTAAAGATGGAAAACTCGATGGGCCATCCAGTCTTCCACCAGAACTTTCCCCCTTTAAAACATAGGGTTCATGATCATGAATGTATAAAATTTGTCGAAGGCTTTGGCTCAATAGTTCCCATTTTAGTTTCTTACACATGCTATGAACAGACGATCCATATATGGCATCCAGACGCCCAAGGACAGAAACAGGGAAGGAATATACTGTGCGCAGGTTACAGCCAGTCAGTCACTCAAGATGCCACCTAGCAACACTCAGAGTAGGAAAATGGTTTTTCGTGTTGCTGGACCAAGTGATTCAGCTAATCTCAGGGGCTTTTATTCATGTCACAGGGAGAGGCTTGTGGTAGAAGCCTCCCGAGTAAGAACGCTGAGTTCCAGTCCTGCCCTTGGGTAGCGGCCAGCTGCCGTGGCCTCGCTGGGGGTGCATGACCTCACCATTGAAACAAGAAAGGGAGACACTGTCTGAGAACATGTCCACACCATGACGCTATCACAGGGTGGAGGGACATGACCAGCCTGGATTGGGAACGTCAGCCAAGGCTCTGGAGACACAGCTGGGTGGCAGCCTCCACGTGCTGGTTGTGGGAGGGCTGTGGGGTGAGATGGGACGAGCACAGCACTGACAATGTTAGGTCCGCATTACATGCTGGCTGGTGGTGGTATGGAGCTCTGGAAAATACGCTGGGTCCTTTGGGCCAGCTGGCTCACATCCATGGCAGGCGCTCTTTGTTGCCCCAACAACACTGAGCCAAGAAGGGGAGTCCCCCCGACTCCCATTCCTCTCCCATAAAAGCTCTGAATGTGAGTTTAAAAGAACAAACTGACTGACCTGTAAATAATGGTGATGATAAAGGCCCCGGCGATGATCACGATCAAGGCAGAAAACACCTGCACATAAGCTGAAAAACAATTTTCATTTACCATCATTTGGACCCAAGTTAATTACAAAAGGGCAGTCCTTCTCCCCTGAGTCAGGCACGGCCCTCCACCCTGCCCCCGCTGCCCTCATCAGACCCAGCTCACCCCTGAGCACCAGCCCCTCCACCATCACTTCCCTCCTGGAGGCACTTACTTCCATGGGATTAAAGTCACCCATAGAAGGATGAAGGCTCCACACGAAAGGTATTCAGGGTGGTGGCCGTGGCTACCCACACAACACCTGAGGGCTGGCCACTGAGGGGACCAGTGCAGAGATGGCTCCTTCCTCGGTTCTCCGGGAAACAGCAGCACCGGGCCTCCTGCTCTCTGGGTAGCTTGCCCTGCCCCCAACTTCCTGAAAATGGTCCCTCAATACTCAGGTCAGTTATTCCCAAAATGAGTATAAGGTAAATGCTTTTTCGATGATAGATAAACTCCACTGGTCTGATCTCAAATTTTATTGACTGAGTTTTCCTTTATTAACAAAGGGATTCCACTGTCCTCAGTTGCTCACATTTTCCCTAAATCATCCCAACTGAGAAGCCATAGTCTTCAAGGTGACTCTTAGGGGGGTGGCCTCTATTCCCATGTTCCCCTGAGTAGCAGCGCCTGTTGGTATAAATGCTCGGCCCCTCTCCATTCCGGGGGCAGGAGTGGGGAGGAGGAGCCGGGTGTAGCCCCGCCCCCAGGTCTTCTCCTACCTAGGGCATGCAGCATAGGGCTTGAGAAAGTCCACTTTAAATGATGTTGAATGAATGGAATTGAAATGAACAAATAAAGTTTGTTTTATTTGAAAGAGTGAATCAGGAGCTTTTAAGGGACAAGAAGATGAACCTCGAATTCTCAAATTCCAGGGAATGTACGTTCCTTAGATGATCGAGTGTCTTGGTTCGTGAAATTAATTCAGAATTTATATGTGAGTGAAGTCCTGTTAGAGAAAGACACATACTTTGACAATGTTTTAGTATCAATTGTCAGCATATTTTCTCTCACTTGATATGTGCAAGTATTTTGGGTCCATGATGTGAAGCTCCTGGAGGCAGAAACTGAACCTCTGTGATTCTCTCTGTAGAGTATCTGGCTCGCACACTACCGTGTTTCCCAGAAAATAAGACATATCCAGAGAAGAAGCTCTAACGTGATTCCTCCAGGATATGGAGGGCACACACCCCTCACATGAGGGTTTTATGGCCTATTTCAGGGAGAAGGATGCCTTTTCTACAAACTCCTTCAGCTTAAAATATTCAGTATGCCAAGGTGCCATATTTTGGCACCTAAAATCTTGCTACGGCTTATTTTCTGGCTAGGTCTTATTTTCAGGGAAACAGGGTATTTGTTATAAATAATATGTCAGGTTTATCTGAAGAAAGCATTATTTTCTTTAAGGACTATCTTGGGAAAATTCTCCCCCAAGTGTAGTTAAACAAAAGTTTGGAAATCATCTCAGCAAGCACCGTGAAGAAACTGAAGTCAAACACTTAGAAGAAATGACTTGTTACGTAATGTACCCTAAGTCAAGACTGAAGAATGAAGGCAAGTCATTCTCTTTGAATTCCCAATTCTTTCTCAAAGATCTAATGCTAATTCCCCAAGTTCATATTCTTAATAATACAGATTATGCCATAACACAATGTGCACTTCAAACCAGCCAATTTAAGTAGTTGGTGAAAGGTTTTCATAACATGGAATTATGTGCACAAAGAACTCATAATACCCTGTCACTGAATACTACAACTTACACAGCACAAAGGTTCATTCGCTGTCTTGAATGAGAAAGATGTCAAAGAAATGAAAAATAATTGGAGGGCACAGTGAGAACCCACACGTAGGGCTCACTGCCCAGACTCTTCCCGCAGATGGCCCGACCTCTCAAGCTTGAAAGAAGTCAGAAGTTAAGAAAAAGCCTAGCCCACACAATTCATTTATTAAAATTGGCAGGATAGAAAGAAGATTAATATTTGCCGCTATACAAAAATGACACCCACTTATAAAACAGTGGGCCCTCTTCAAGTACAAAAAAATTCTTGAGAGTTTGTGGGGGCTTTAGTGGGGAGAAGGGGTCCTTAAAAACACTAAAGTTAAGTTGTTATACAGAGTAAGACTCATTTTCCAAATGAATGACAGGCATAAAATAATTATATTAATTTAAACAATCTTTGTTATACACACTAACATTTACAAAATGGCCAACTCCCTTCTGATGAGAAGGTGCTCAGGGAATGAGACAGGTGATGAAAAAAAAAGCAGTTAGGATTTGCATTCCCTTACTAACTGCAATCTTCCTTGAATGATCTATTTCACCATGTCATGCTGTTAAATCTCCACTTCATTGAGATATGGGGAAATTGGGATAATTAATTGCCAAGACTATGATCAGTTCTGTGACTTACTTGGGAAATGAATGACCTCTACATCTTTATATGTAGAACACTGAAAGAACAAACTCAATACCTTTGGATTTGAATGGTTTGGGCTTTTAGGGGCCCAAAATTGTAAAAAAAAGTCTCAGAAAAACTCAGTTGCCTAAGTGCCTAGGACACTGGAGTCCTCTAAGAAGCAAAATCCTGCAATAGAGATGAAATAAGCTAGATTGTAACCATCTGCTGCTCTCCAAATAGTGAGATGTGTGTGTCAAACCACCAATACCACAAAACACCAACAAAAAGATGACAAGTAGAAAAAGCAGCAAATTATGTCCAAATTACCACCACGTGCCATGAACTCAGCTCAGAACTACCTGTCATAGATCCCAGAGAATGAGCTGCTGGGATGCAGCAATGTGATAGGCCATTTAACAGTGGAAGACCTGGGACTCAAACAGATATCTCAAGTAAGATTCTGGCTAAGGTTGTGGGTTTTATGATGAGATTAGTGAAGGATAAAGAACTCCTTTAAGGAAAAAGGACTGTGTCTTATTCCAACGCTCACTACCCTTTGGAACAACTGAACTAGAGGTTCGTTAAAACCCAGAATTAACTTTCAGGGTAACATCAGCAAAAATACTAAAGGGAGTCCTTCAGGATAAAAGCAAAAAGCACTAGACAATCAATAACAAACCCACATGAGTAATAATGCGATAAAAATCAAACATACTTTCATGATAAAAACACTCAAGAAACTAGGAAGAAAAGGGAACTTTCTCAACCTGATAAACGATACCTAGTAAAACCCATAGCTGCCATTATACTTAATGGTGAAACATTTAAAAATTCCCCCTAAGATCAGGAATAAGATGAGGATATCTAGTCACATTGCTTCTATTCATCACTGTAGTTGTGGTTCTAGCCAGGGAAACTAGGCAAGAAAATGAAATAAAACCATCTAGATTGGTAAGGAAGAAGGAAAACCATCTCTAGATGCAAATGATTTGACTTTGTTTGTATAAAATGCTAAATAACTAAAAAAATGAGTAAAACTAATACGAGTCCAAAAAGGTTGCAGGATACAATATCAATATACAAAAATCAATTGTATTTCTATATAGTAGCAAACTTTCAATTCTCTTGGATATACCTAGGATTCTATATACAATCTGAAAATAAAATTAGGATGACAATTCCATTTATAATAACATCAGAAAGAATAAAATACTTAGGAATAAATTTAATAAAATAAACACAAGATTGGTACACTAAAAACTACAAAATGTTGTTGAAAGAAATTAAAGAAGACCTAAATAAATAGAAAGACATCCCCTGTTCATAGATCAGAATACTCAATATTATTAAGATGGCAATACTCCTCAAATTATCTACAGATTCAATACAATCCCTGTTAAAAACACAAGATAGCTCTTTGCAGAAATTAAAAAACTGATCCTAAAATTCATATGGAAATACAAAGGACCTGTAATAACCAAAACAATCATGAAGAAGAACAAAATTAAAGAACTCTCACTTCTCGATTTCAACATTTATTACAAAGATACAGCAATCAAAATAGTGTGCGAGTTTAGAAATAAACCCTCACATTTATGGGCAATTGATTTTCAACAAGGGTGCCAAGACAATTCAACAAAAAAAGAATAGTCTTTTCAATAAATGATGCTCAGCTACCTGGATAAAAGAATGAAATTGGGAACCTGCCTCACACCATATATAAAAATCAACTCAAAATGGATGAAAAACCTAAACATACGAGCTAAACTATAAAACTCTAAAAAGATATCATAGATGTAAATCTTTGGATTTAGCAATGTTTTTCTTAGATATAACCAACAGCACAAGTAACCAAAGAACAAATAGGTAAGCTGGATGCCATCAAAACTATAAACTTTTGTGCTTCCAAGGACAGTGTCAGGAAAGTGAAAAAGTGAAAAGACAGCCAAAAGATAGGGAGAAAGTAGTTGCAAATCATATATCTGAAAAGGGTCTACTATCCAGAATACAGAGTTCTTAAAACTACACAATAAAGACAACTAACCCAATTAAAAACCAGGCAAGGGATTTTAATAGACTTTTCTCCAGAGAACATACACAAATAGCCAACAAGCACATGCAAAGACGCTCAACTTCATTCCTCATTAGGGAAATGCAATTCAAAACCGAGATACAACCTCATACCCATTACAAAGGATATAATAAAAAATAGACAATGACTAGTGTTGGTGAGGATGTGGAGAAACTGGAACCCTCATACACTGCTGGTCAGACTGCAAAATGGTCCAATCACTTTGGAAAATAGTTTGGCAGTTCCTTCAAAATTTTAAAATGGAGTTACTATACAATCCAGCAATTCCACTCCTAGGTAAATAGCCAAGAGAATTGAAAACATATGTTCATAAAAATGTGTACACATATGTTCATAGTAGCATTATTCATAATAGCCAAAAAGTAGAAATAATACAAATTTCTACTAACTTACTAAGGATAAATAAAAGGCGGTGTATCCATACAACAGAGTATTATTCAGCCACGGAAAGGGATGAAGCACTGATACATGCTCCAACAGGATGAGCCGTGAAAACGTTACGTAGTGAAAGAAGCCAGGCACAAGAGGCCACATAGTGTATAATTCCATTTATATGAAATGTCCAGAATAGGTAAACCCACAGAGACAGAGCCATGGTTGCCAGGGGCTGGAAGGAGAAGGGAATGGAGCAACGTAATGGGATAGCAAATCTATCCCAACTGGGAGTGGAATTTCTCTGGTGGCCGAAGTCCCGGCCACAGCCCCTCAAAGCCCTCTGCTCCCACTACTGCAGAGATGTGACTGGGGAATAAGAGAAAAGGCACGTCCAGCCATGGAAACACAGGGGAGGAAAGCAGGCCATTCCCAGGCCGCCATGGCTTCGTTTGTACAGGGCAGGCCTGGCCCAGATACTTACAGGGAACTGCTTTTTCATAGCAGACACCTTTATAAAAGCAGCACCCGAGTTCCTTGCACCGATCTCTGGTGACATTGTAGTCACATATGTCGTACAGAGGAATGTCGCACACTGCAAAGCACAGACACACACAGAACTGTTATTACTGAGAACACAGCCACCCGCTGGAAATTCTACAGAATGGGGGATGTAGAGGGGAAACTTCTGGGTCTGTGTTGTGGGTTTTGTTATTTTTTAATTATGCATCACACAAATCTCACTTTGAAACTAAGATCTGCAATGAATTAGGCTTCTGAACCAAATAATGTCAAGTTAATTACACAGAATAATGCAGGGTCCTCTAATGATGAAGGAGATAATACATCTCAGCGGAGCCCTCGCCAGGCTCGGCACTCTACAAAGAAAATGGGAAACAAAGATCTAATACAATGGATACTTGGGAGTTCGGGTTATAATGTGTAATTAATTCACATTTAAGCAGACAGTGAATTATAATTATCAACATGGGCTGAGGATTATTTCAGAATTTAAAAATTGAATCAAAAGGACATAAAGTTTAATGCCAATTTTGACCCCCCAAAAAAGGAAAGATAATGAATGTGCAATACACTAGAGGTGGCAAGTGACCGTTTTCAGCACAGTCAGCTACTTAACACCTCATACACTTTCAGCTCTGACGTATGATTCTCCTAATTGGCAACAAGCATTAACTGTCCCTAACCCTGCTCGGTGGGGTCTCCTACCACAAGGAGCCTGCCCCACCCACCTTCCTGGCCTTCCAGGGAACGCCAGTCATTTTCTTAGGATTGATTTAATCTTTCAGACTAAGGGATTTCAGAGAAACCACTGTCCCTCATGCCCGGCCCTCCCTTTCCCAAGACGCTCCCACTCCATGTGCTAAATACTGTTGCCATGGCCTCCCCTGCCAGGCGATGGAACTATGACGGCCCTCTGCTGTTGGGATGCCACTGCAGCCACAGGGCAGAGTCCGGGGATGAAAGAAATCCGGCTGTGAACCTCCTGCACCACCATCCTCTCCTACAGCTGGGTCCTAGAAGCCAGAGCCCGACTTACCCACCAGGAGGGGCAGAGGGAGTTGGGCAGCCAGAGGGGGCCTGTCCTTGGCACAGCTGAACTAGCGTGGCTCAGAGACTGGTCCCAGGTGGCCTGTGGTCACTGAGCTCTCAGTCGCTCTGCACAGTGGCCATCAGTTGAAGGCAATGGGAACTGTGCTGGATTTTGCTTTCAGTGTGGTCTGGGCTTCAGGCAGCACCACCTACGGCCCCATCAGGGCAGCATTGAGGTCTCAGGGACACAGAACGACAAGTGCTACCGCGCTTGCCTGCCGCTCCCACAGAACTTAGAGTGGGGCCACTGGTGACAGTAACAAGGACTGCTAACACTGTTCCTGTGTGCTCAGGCCGCCCTACCTCCCCCAGAAAGATCCAAGAGACCAAAGACCACACAGCTGGCAGGCAGAGCTGGAATCTCCCTCACACCTGCTGTTCCCACTCTTGTCCCAGGAGTGCAGCTCAACAGTGTCCTTCACAGAGCTGAGGGGACGGGGTTCCCGGGCTTGCTCCAGGCGATGGCAAACAGGATGCGCAGGAAATAATTCACTGAGTGAAGCACACGTTTTGCTCATACCGATTGCTCTCTTTAACGTCACGACACAGGTGAGAAAACTTTGGTACGTGTTTCCTATTTTGGCTGCCTTAATGGAATATTTTGGAATAGCAGCTGGTCCCCTGTGCCCGCTTCTGTGTAGGCTCCGTGTCCCCATCACAGCTGAGACCACTGTGGGCCTCCGTTGCCTTCTTCCTCCTCCTATCCAGTGCTGTTTTATTTGCCTGGACCTCCCATGATGTCTCAATGCATTGCAAGTTGCCACACAGAAGTCTCCCACATTTCCAAACCTGGCCAGTCCAGGAACCCCTCTAGTCAGTCTCTGTTCCAAGCCAAACAAAAAAATAATAATTTTTTTTTCTTTTCCTTCTATTTTTCTTGTCTTTCATTTGTTACTAAAGTCATGCATGACTAAAAGTTCAGTTGAGAAAAAAATTCAAGTAACACAAATATGCAGTGGAGGTGACACTTCCCCCTTCTCACCCAATCCCCGATGGTCTCACACATCTAGAATTTTTGTCTGAGTGGTTTTAAGTGATGGCAATCACACTGTATATACACACTAGCCATGTGACTTGGAGAAAGTCACATTTGCATAGATTTTCCTTGAACACCCAGGTACAAGCATCCAACTTCATATCCCAGGCACCCAGGACAGAAGTGGGGAAAGGTGACTTTTACTGTTGAGAAACACTTTTTTAAACAACAAAAAAGAGAAATCACTCGTGCAATAAAAATTATGAAGTAGCTGAAGTGTATGTTTAGCACCTCATATGAAAACATTTTTAACCCTAAAGCCCCTTGGGAAATAGTTAAATATATTTCAATGCTGAAAAACTCAGGGGTTTGCAATGAAATTTTAAGAAAATGAAGACTTCACAGTATTTTCCTACATTATTTTAAAACAAACAAACTTCTTTGCCTTCTCTTCTAAACTTGGTGGCTAATCGTTAAAGCCTTGGGTTGAAATAGGCCCTTACAGTAGTTTTTTCTCATTACCTGCAAATTTCTTCAGGATATGCGAGGGGGACTTTTTGAATTCTGGAACATATCTCATTGTAGCGGTCGAAAGATGAAAGACAGACGAGGGGTCAAGGGAACCTGGGAGAGAGAGCAGTTAGCACAGTAGGACCTCAAGGGTAGCCTGCAGCTTCAGTTAGTGCCAGGAAGGCAGGTGGCCAGGCTGACAGCCGAACTGGGTCTCACCTGTCAATCATGTCCCCAGCTGAGTCCCCCAGCCTCACCTCTCCCACTTACACTCCAAGTGAACAACTTTTGAATCAAACAAGAAAACTGGCCACCTCCTCCCTCCAGCTGCTCCTGGTCAGTGGAGTGTGGAGCCAGTGGCAGGCCCGCCCTGCCTGCTGTGATGTCACACAGCCCTGTGATGTCACACAGAGGGCAGGGCTCCAACTGTAGGGCAGACAGGACGCTCACAAGGCTGAGGAGGTTGGGAGACACTTAAGAGCAGGCATGACATCAAAAACCCTGCCCTCCAGACCTTGCACCCCGGCCCCATTCCTGTGGGACACCCACCCCTGTTGCCCAGCCAGGCCCAGCTTCAGAGCTAGATGTTTGAGTCCTGCCACTGGCGTCCTCACTCCTCGGTTCTTGGAGAGCCCACTTCTGCTGGCACTGCTGGGACACAACAGTGAGCACAACAGACAAAAGTCCCCACCATCAGGGACATATTATTCTTGTGATAGGAGACAGAACATATATGTCAGATCAGACACAGGCCATGCAGAAAAGGAAAGCAGAGCATACTGATTAAGGAGCGGCTGGAGCAAGGAGTGGCTTTCTGTTTTACAAGGCGTGAGCAGGTAGCCTCTGAATTAGATGGCATCTGAGCAGATCCGCAAGGAAGTGAGGGAGGGAGCTATGTGGCCATCCAGGCAACGTGCTGAAGGAGCTGAAGGAGCAGCAAGTGCAAAGGCCCTGGGGTGAGGCAGGGTTGGCAAATCTGAGAACCCAGGAGACCAGTGTGGCTCGAGTGAAGACAGAGACATCACAGAGGCTCAATCATGAGCAAGCGTGTAGGTTACTTTGGACTTTGACCTTCCCGCTAAATGAAATAGGGCACTAAGACAGGATTTTGTGCAGGGGCGAAACTAAATTATATTTTAACAGCATCATCTGACTTTTGGAAACAGGCGTTAAGGAGACAAGAGTAAATTTAGGGAATAACATAATGATCCAGGAGGAAAATAAGGGTGTGATCAGGGTGGTAACTGGTTGAATGTTCTTTGTATGGCGTTTTAGAGTCAATAAGATTGGCTGACAGGTTTGTGAGAGGAACAAATTAGTGATGCACCTGAGGACTTTGCCTGAGAGGATGGAAAGGTGGAGCTGCCACATTGAAGACGGACACTCAAGTCCGAGTGGACAGGCCAAGCAGACGTATCATTTGTGCATCTGGCTGGGGCTGAGGTCCTGGCGGGGCATGCACAGCAGGCAGCTGGAATAATGAGCCATCAGCTTGTGAGAGAGCACCCAGGGAGCCTGCATTGGAGGGGGAGCCCTGGGCTGCTGGGGACAGAGGGCCTGCAAACAGGGAGGGGCAGGTGGAGACCGGGTGGTGGGAAGCACAGTGTGGTGTGGTGGGAAGCACAGTGTGGTGTGGTGTTCCAGGAAACAAGAGAAGGAAGCATTAGTCTTTGGGAAGAGGACCTATGCACCTGGACCAGGTCAGGATGAGGAAGCAAGCAGTGATTGGTGAGGCAGCAAGGCAGCGGAATATCATCAGGAGGGGCCAGTGGAGGAGACCACTGCCCAGGGGAGCAGGCATGGCCACGGGCTGAGGTGTCCGTTGTTGCACTTGTCAGAACTCTGGGATGAGGAGCAGAGACACTGGAATTTATCAGGGCTGAGGTTTCTGCAGGAGGCGAGGTGGTTGCACTGGCAGGACTTAAGCTGGGAAGGATACGTGAGGGCAGAACGGGAGAGGAAGGATGAATTCGTGGGAGGGGCTGCAGAGAGAGGAGAGGAACTACCCAGCCCCAATGGGGTGGACGGACTCATACTGATGGCGAGAGGGGTGAGCCCAGGGCAGGAAGCTGTGGTCCGATGGGAGGTTCGGAGTGGAAGTTGTGGCAGGAATTCGGTTTTGGTGTGACTGAAAGAGCAGGTGGCTGAGGCCAGGAAAGTCAAGGTCACCCCAAGGGAAAGGTCAAGGACCTGAGCTGCACAGAAACCCTGCACCCATTATCAGTGACTCCCCATTCCCTCCCATTGTCCCTCCCTAAGCAACCACTAATCTGCCTCCTGTCTCCATGGATTTGCCTCTCTGGGCATTTCATATCAAGAAAATCACGTAACATGTGTTCTTACATATCTGGCTACTTTCACTTCCATTTTTTGAAGCTTCATCCACATAATAGCACATGTCACAACTTCATTCCTTTCATGGCTGAATAATAGTCCATTGCATGGGTGGACCACTTTTTGTTTATCCATTTATCGGTTGATGGACATTTGGGTTGTTTCTACTCTTTGGCTATTATGAGTAATGCTGCTATGGACTTTCACAAGTTTTTGTGTGGATGTATTTTCACTTCTCTTGGGTACACACCTAGGAGAGGAATTGCTGGGTCACATGGTAACTCAAGGTTAACCTTTTGAGGAACAGCCACATTATTATCCAAAGTGGCTGCACCACGTTATGTTCCCAAATAAAGGCATTCAGGTTCTCTCTCCTGGGAATTTTAACCTACAGCAGGCACAAACCTGGTAGAACTAGGTTGTCTCATTTCTCAGCAAGCTTCCAGAGAATTCATAGAGACAGTGAGTAAAGTATGGGCATTTGAAGGCTGGGGTTCACATGAGGAGGCTGAGAAAGCCCTTGAGGGGGAGGAGGGTGTTCACGACAGGCTTCCAGAGAGAGGCAAAAGAGGACCTGAGATTCCAAAAGATTTATTCAAGTGGAGAGGCATGATATGGCAGCTAAGAGGAGAGTGAGCATGTCAGGATGATGGCCGGTACTGCTGGGCCACCCCCGTGGGCCCCCTTAAGCCACTGGGGCAGGGAGATCAGGCTGTCTCTCAGGAGAGACCGTTACAGTGGTGGTGGTAGGACCAATAGAAGAAAAAGAGATAGATGACTCCCCCTCCATCAACAGAATCCACCTGGAGGCCACAGGAGGATGCCACTTCACCCCCACCTAGGCAGCCAGAACCCGTAGAGTGCCGCTGTTTGGCGAGACCCTCCCAGGCATGTCAGAGTGATGGCCGGTACTGCTAGGCCACCCCCGTGGACACCCTGAAGCCACTGCCCACTTTGCTTACCCCCAGGCCAGGCCTGTGACAATGGAGGCTTTCCGGCCCACAGGAGGGGGAGCCAGTGTGGCCGGTGGTAATCCCCTCCATTATTAGCCCTATGTCCTGTTCCCATCCGATAACCGGCGACTGCACTTACTGACTTAATTATAGCAAACAGCAAGACATTTGCTGTAGTGGGCTGTGCAGCCTTCCCATGGGAAAATGTAAGTGGTGGTGTGGGTTTTCTGAAATAGGAAAACTACCATTGGGATCCGTTACAACCTCTGAGGACTCCTTCAACGACTCTTTAGTAACACTATAATGGGATTTAGCTAACAACCTATAGCAACACGCAGGCCCAGCTTCTGGAAGGGCAGGTACCCAGGTCAAAGTCAGGGGAGCAGACCAATTTATAAAGAGGCGAGTCCACTTCCCCTATTGTTAGGAGTTGAATTGTGACCACCGCGCCCCACCCCCCGAAAAAAAATAAAGATATGTTGAAGTCTTGACCCACGGTACCTGTGAATATGACCTAATTTGGAAATAGGATCTTTGCAGATATCATCAGGTTATGATGAGGTCACACTCAGTCAGGGGGGCTAATCCATTATGACTGGTGTCCTACTAAGAAAACAGAAACACGCAGAGGAGAGGCCACGTGAAGACACATGTGTGAAGACAGCCATGTGCCGAAGGAGGCAGAGACTGGAGCCACAAGGCCACAAGCAAGGAATGCCAGAGACGGATGCAACCACCAGGAGCCGGCAAAGGCAGTCAGATCACGCCCTGGGGCCTCCAGCGGGAGTGCCGATGGCTTGGTTTCTGACTGCTGGCCTCAAAACTGTGAGAGAAGCAAGTTCTGCAGTTACGGCCCACCAGTTTTGTTCCGGCAGCTCAGAAAAGTAACCCGTGTTAATTTTGCTGGGACAATAACCAGAGAAGAAAGTCTTCAAAATCCTAAGAAACACCTGTCTGATATGGCGATTAGAAAAGGCAACCCCAAGCAAGAGGATTAAAGGTGGGCCTGGGTCAGACCAGGATGTTTGGGTCCTGATCCCTTTGGGCGCTGTGGGCCCCATCTGAGACTGGCACCCGCAGGCTGCGTGGTCTTAGGCCTGACCCGCCTCGCTCCCTTCCCTGTGCTCCTGCCAGCCACGTCACACGACAGCCCCTTACACTTGCACCCAACTCATCAGCCGTTCATGTCAAGTGACAGCTGACCACCAGCTATGTCGACAGACCCCACGCACCGCTGTCACAGAGCGGGATTCCCTGAGTAATTAATTCCCTCATGCAGCTGCCACCTTTTAATTTTGCAGCATCGCCATATTCCGAAGAGTTGCCACTTGCGTACCTCCTTTCAGCTATTAAATGACAACCCCTTTTGTTTACAAATAATATCAAGTTAATTAAATATTGCATCTAAGGAAGGAATTAAAACGGCACCCATTTCAGCCCAGGCAGAGCCCAGATGATTAGCATCCCGCAACGTGTTGTGGAAAAGGCGTCCTTGCATAATCTGTACAGAAGGTAACGTTTTAGAAGGGCAACACTTCACGTGGCCCTGTGCTGCCATCAGAGCAGTTTAAGAGCCTGTGCAGCGTCTCGCTCCTTGGCCAGCTGTGTAGCTGACAAGCTGACTAGGGAGCTTGGTTTCGGAGCTTGGGTCCCATGGGCTTGCTAACACGCCTCGCCAGGGCAGGCAGGCACCCTGAAGTCCAGGCAGGCTGCCCTCCTTCCGCCCGCCCGAGCCGCCACCCTTGTGGTGATAGGGTAGGTAGGTAGATAGAAAAGAGCAGAAGGAGAAACTTAGCCCCAGTTAGAAAGCCCCTTGCTGCAGCTCCAACCTGGGTCAAGACCCCTGGCAACTGCCCAGCAAGACTCCAGGCTTACACATACCTCTAAATCAAAGAGATATGTCATTAAAAGTCAGAGAAGGGGGAAACCCATCCTGTTTGTCAGGACCATCAATACCTTACTAGCCCAACAGGATTCCAGGCTTACACATACACTTAAAGGATGTGTCTATACATCCCCCAAATCAAGGGGATGTGTTTACACATGCCCCTAAATTGAAGGCGTGCATTAGAAGGAAGGTATCCTGCTTATCAGAGAACCCACCCTATTTGTCACCAGTACCTCACTAGCACAACAGGATTCCAGGTTTTCACACACCCCGAAGGGACATGTTTACACATCCACCAAAACCAAGGGGATATGTTTACACACACCCCTAAATCAAAGAAATGCATTGCTAAATACCAGAGGACTAGGTGCCTCAGGTGAAAAGAGAGGGGACACCGGGAGGCAATTCTACCCATAGAAATAAAAGCCTTCATGCAATGTTAAGGCAAGGCTGCTTCCCTCCCTGGGGTCAGCCTGCTCCACATTTCAGAGTATTCTCACATTTTCTAATAAACTTGCTGTTCTAAGCTACTTTCCTGTCTTGGGTCAGCCCGTTCTATGTCTTGGTGTCTTGGAGTGTACTTTCTTTTACTAATAAACTTCTCCTGTTCTTGCTGCATACATTTCTGTCTCGTGATTGAAGTCTTTCCTTCAAGAAGACAAGAACGAGGTTTCAACGTCATTTTCCCGGTTAACAACGGGAAGAACAATAGCACCACTTAACACACTGCAGCATCACGTGAGCAGAGCACACAGAGATAATTGTAAATATAAAAGAGCTCAAAAGGGGAGACAAACTGAACCCCTTGGCAACAGAGTACACACACATCATTTGCAGGTATGTACCGATGCTCCTGAATACCTACCACCAGCTCACTCAGTCCTTCACCAGGCAATTAGCAACCAAGGAGGCATGGCAAGTAGGGGCTGGGCCTCCCATGGGGAGAAGAGCAGGTACCACCCAGACCTCAGGTGGGAAGATGGGCATCCATGAAACCATCGCAGGCATGTGTGTGTGTGACCACTGAGGAGGAGGTTGTGGTGCTGGGAGGGAGGGAGGGGCACACAAGTGCGCATGGATATAAAGGCATCGAGCCAGCCAGGTATAGGGGACTTCCAGATGGACCCCAAGGGCAGGACAGGGTAAGGCAGGCTCAGAGAACACAGAAACGAGCGCAGCTGGGTGGCAGAGTGCACCAGGAACCGAGGGAGCAGGAATGGCTGCACACACACAGATCTGTGTTGTTTGTGAGCACGAGCAAAGTCACCTGATGAGCAGCAGAAGAGCAGCGTCTCTTCTGGGGCAGGTGACGGGGCAGAAGCCAGAAAGCGTATGCAACTCTTTTGAGAGGTCTATCTGTTGAGGGGAAAGCATTAAATGAAAGCGGCTAT